AGCAGTCCAGGGCCCCTTCACACTCAAAGGCCTGAGACAGATAGACTGACCGCCCTCACCCTTGACCCCAGAACGGGGTCCCTGTAGCTCCTGGGGAGGCCGCAGGCCCAGGAGAGGGAGCTGGGGCTCCCAGCACCTCCCGCACCAGGCCTGGAGCAGGTACTGTTTATGCACAGACCAGGCAACAGCCCTGGGAGGCCCCAGGTGCTAAGTATCTGTTCACAGGTGGGGAAATTGAGGCTCGCAGGGTTAAGGAACTAGCCCAAGGTCACACAGTCAGGAGGTTGTGGGCCCAGGATTCAAACCCTGAGGCTTTCTGATCCGAGGGCCTCTGATCTGTCCACTGTGTGCAAGGGGCAGCCTATTAATCTTCCCTTCCTCCTCAGCCCCAGCCCCAGGTCCTTGGGAGGCCTGGGAGGATTTATATTCAGGGCCTGGATGCATAAGTTTCATGGAGCCAGATCTCAGCTCCTATAAGGGCCCTGTCCCACAGATCCACACTTGCAGGCCTGGCTCCTCCCCAACCCCAGACCACCTTCTAGCTGGGGCACTCAGTACACTGGGGTCTCTCAAATGCTGACTGTCCCATCAGGGATCACCCGGTCACCCCACATTGTACAGACATGGAAATTGAAGACCAGAGGGGGCAGAGCCTCATCTAAGGACACAAAGACAGGGCAGAGCCATGGAGCCCAAGCATCTGCCCCTAGCCCAGGCCTTCTCCTCTGGCCTCTGGCTCAGGGTGGGAAGGGCAGTGTCTTCTCACTAGCTCCTCCTGCTCAGTGCTTCCCAGCTCCCCAGCCTGCACACTTCCTAGGTCAGACTCAGATGTCAGCCTGTCCCAGCTTAGGCCCTTCCCTGGGCACAGATCAGCAACAGCAGCTAGGGAAACCAAGGCCAAAGAGGGTAGGAACCCGACAAAGCTCACACATCATGGGCCAGATCGAGGGTCAGTGCCCAGGGTTTTGTCCTCTAGCAGTACTAAATGCCTCTCTTGCAGGCCCAGTTCAATGCCTCCTCCTTCAGGAAGCCTTCCCAGACACCCTCGCCTGAATGAATGGCTCCCTATCTGCTCCCAACTCTGCTATGCCCAAAGCATGGCCACACTAAAGTGTCTTCTGCAAGCCCAATATGGAAGGTAAGGGCTAGACCTTTACAGGTTACAGTCTCATCACCACCAGCAGCCAACAGTTTGGGAGCCAACTCTGGTGGGGCAAGTGGAGCAGGTGGCCATGTTCAGAGCAGCAGGGTCCTAAGCCCCAGCTGGTCTGGCTCCACCCCAAACCCCAGGCCCAGGGCCTAGGCTAAGCCCTCTCCCTCTGTCAGGCTGGGCCTGTACCCTCTTTGACCCCAGCCCCTGCCCCAGCCCTGGTCCCTTCTGCCCAGGTTCACTCCAGCCATGGGAGGTCTCAACCCCAGGCCCCCAGGGATGTGGCAGGAAGGGTGGGAGCATAGCATGTGGAGGGTCAGAGAGGAGCTCCCAGGGCAAGGGCCACCTTCCAATCTGTGCCCCTCCATCCTCTCCCCATGCAGTTCCTCTGAGACCCACCCCTTCCCATTATTCAGAGGTACACTGTGGGAAAGAGAAGAATTGGAAGCTACCTGAAGGCCTCAATGCAGCCATTACAAAGGACAAGACAGCCATGTGGATTGACTTGGAAATGGGTGGGTGGTATATTGTCAAATGCAAAAAAGCAATTCACCTAAAGATACTGAGCTGTGTGGTAGGATCTCCATCAGCACCATCCACAGGTATATTATGTGAGCAGCATGTGAGTTCACGTATATGCAGAGAATTGTTGCTGAGAGACATACAGGACACAGTTGACCCTGTTTCTCCCAAGTTTAGAACCAGAGAATACCGAAACATTTTTACCTTAACATGTCTGTATTTTTGGTAATTTTTTTTAAACTTAGTAGAAGGAAAAGATACCAGCATCACATACATAGCCTGGCCTCTAGCCCCACTGCCCAGAACCTCCCTGCTGGTCCTGGCCTTCCATCCATCCCCCAGCTTCAGCCTGGCCCCTGTCCTCTCTCCCAGCGTGTAGCCGTTTGCCACCACCCTTCCTCTCCCCTTTGAGGCCTTTCTCCACCTGCTCCCTCCCTCCTTTTTCCCCTCCCTCAGGCCCTGCAGGCCCCAGCCTCCTCAAGCACCAGCTTGGCCCCTGGCAGTTCAAGGTCCATCGGGCTCCACATGCTTCTCTGGACTCCCTCCCCATCCCCTTGGGCAACGCACTTCTGCACTCAGCTTTCCCTGTAAGTTGGGTGTGTGTTCTGGAATCCCAGTAGTGTCTACCCCTTCACTGGGGCCTATAGAACCCTCCCCAGCAAGAGTTCTGCCTTTTTGGCCAAATGGGAGCCCTTCAAAGTCTCCCCCCAGGGGCAGGCAGGGCGTGCTCCTCAGAATTGGAGGAAGTGCCTGGAAGTTCACCCCACACCCACTCTGGGCCATCGGCAGGTCCATATGTGAGGCAGGGCAGGAATCTGGCCCTAACTTCCCTGGGAGCCAGAGTGGAGAAGGGAAAGCAGGGCAGAGGTCTTTGAAACTTCTTCCCACACCCACACCACCCTCAGGAGTGGGAGTGAGTGGAGGGTGATTGCCAACTCTCAAGAAACCATCTTTCCTCCCTCACAGTGTCACTCACCTAAGTGGTATCTAGAGGATCTGACCCCCTGTATCTTGAGCTCTCACAACTACATCAACAACCCCTCACAAGACTGGCAGCTGGGGGTGAGTGCTCAGATGTTGGATGTTTCCCTCTTCCAGGAAGAAAGGGATAAGTGGATCTGTGGATGGATTTGTGGGTGTGTGGAGGGGTAGACAGGCTGAAGAATGGATGAATGGGTGGGTAGATGAATGGGTGGGTGAATGGATGGATAGATGAATAGATCTGTAGATGGATTTGTGGGTGAAAAGGTGAATTGATGGGTAGGTGGGTGGGTACATAAGCTGAGGGCGAATGGATGGATGGATGGATGGATGGATGGATGGATGGATGGATGGATGGATGGATGGATGGACAGGTGGGTGGATAGGTGAGTGAATAGGTGAATGGATGGATGGGTGGGTGGATGAGTGGGAAAATGAGTGGCTAAGTTATAAGTGAATGGATGGGCTAGCTACAGACTGACTCAGGAGTAACTACTTCTCAAAGAAATTTTCTAAATCTCTGAAATGTGAGGCCCTGGCACCCCCCAAAGGCCAGAGTCTCTAACTACCCATCTCCTCTAAAGCACTAGACACCAACAATCCTGAGAACCAAGGACAGGATCTAGGGAAAGTTAGGGGTTCTGGGAAACAAAAAATCTAGGGTCCAGTGCTGGCTTTTCCCCTGATTTACTCTGGAACCTGGGAATTGTTCAACCTTTTAGGCTCAATTTTCTTATCTGGAAAATGTAGTTAATCAAACCGGATGCCTGTGTTGCTATGAGATTTAAACAAAATTACATGTGTAAAGTGTCTGAGATGGTTTACCTGGCCTGTATCAGATGCTCAAAGAATATGATTTCCTTCCCAGAGGCAGCCCTAGGGCATGCATGCATGCACACACACATACATGCATACACACATGCGTGCGCGCACACATATGTGCACACACATCCCTCCAGCACAGTAGAAAAAAGGGATAGAAAGTGAGACCCTAGGCCAGACCAGACCAGGAGAGGCAGATGGAAACACATTTATTCTCCAAGGGTTTCATGCTCTGGCAGGACTGGCCCAGCCTTGAGAGCCAAGGACTCGAAGAATGGGGACGCTTCTTGGGGCTCAGCCTCCTGGGCCTGGGCCTGGGCCTGGGCCTGGGCCTGGGCCTGGGCCTGGGCCTGGGCCTGGGCCAGCTGGGCTGTGTGCTCAAAGGCAGCCTGCAGCAGGTGGGAAGCAAGGCAGGTGGTCCAAGTGACTAGATAGGCCAGTTGCCAGGAGGTAACTACTATCATGCTCTCCACCCACCAGTACAGATGCTTCAGCAGTTCCAGTAGCTCCAGCACCATGTGGTTCTCCAGCAGAGCCTGGAGGGGTGAAGAGAATAGGCAAGTGGCCACCACGAGTTCACATGGCTGTACTGCCCAACTGCTAGACCCCAGCCCAGCCCTGGTCATGCCCAGTGCCCCAAGCCTGCCCTCAGCAGCTTGGCCTGCACCCTGCCCTGCACCCTGCCCACCCACCTTGCTGGACAGCCAGCCCAGGCTGCAGCAGTGGGCCTTCCACAGCAGCCTCCAGGTCAGCAGCAGCAGCAGCAAGGCCGCCAGCATCAGGCTATGCAGGCACGACAGAAGAAGGTCCATCCAGGTGGCCACAGACAGGCCCAGCTGCTCCGAGGCATCTGGCCACTTCTGGTCCAGGCACAAGGACCGGACACAGCCCAGCATGCCTGCCCACACTAGCCTGGGCACCCTCAGCAGCAGCCACACAGGGACCTCCATCAGTGCCAGCCCAACCCGTAGAACCAAGCCCACTGGGCAGGCTGTGAGCCCAGGCAGTGGGAGGGCCTGCTGGCCGCACGACCCCTGGGCCTCCTGGACCAGCCTTGACATCCAGTGGTTGAAGAGGATGATCTTGAGGAGTAGAAAATTATAGAGGTGGACCTGGTTCTGGACCAGCTGCAGGAGGAGGGAAGACAATCATCACCCACCGTCACTCACTTGGGGCAAGAACCCTCCCCGAGCTTTACTGTAGGGGTTGGGGCTGCCAGGTCACCTTGAGCCCTCAGTTACCCCACACATAAGAATGATCTTTATCTCTTCACTTCTAAGGACTCCATTCTCAGGAGAGACCCGTAGAAGGTATCTCATATGACACTGGGTTTTTTTTCCTATGGATTTAAATACTTATTTATAATGCTCCAGACTGAAAGAGGTTGACTGATGATGATGATGATGATATAAGGAGTGACCATCCCCCTCAACCCTTTAATCTGTAGGATTTGAACCCGGGTGTGTTTCTTCTCCCAAGCACATGGGCTCTCCTGCACATCAGTTGCTTCTTGGTGTCATGAGGACAGCTGGGAGCAAAGGGCAGTGTCATTAGGGGTAGAGAGATGTGAGGCATGGGGGACAGTGACAGGATTAATGACTGACCTACTGAGAGGGGTGAAGGAGAGGGAGGGACCCAAGAAGATGTCCATATTTCTGTTCTGGGTGGATGTCTCCCACCCATGGGAGGAAGAGAGGGGTTGGGTAGGGAAAGAATCTGTAAATGAGAAAGTTTCACTTGAGTCCTGGAGCTGAACGGCCCCTCCTCAGAGCCCTGAAGCCCCCAGCCCTTGAGTAACAAAACCCATCAATCTGGATCCCATGTGTCCCTGTCTCCACAGCACTACCTGGAGCCCTAAGGGATGGGGTGAGAGGCAGCAACTTGGGGTTGGCTGTATGTCCCACCACAGGGGGGATCAGCAGAGCTGAGGGAATGGAGCTACGCTGGGAAGGGAAGGGAACTCAGGGGTCCAGCGAGGGGAAGAAATAGGATGGAGAGAGGAAATGGCAGCTGCCCCCCAAAACAACTGATGGTGTTGAGACCAGAGAGGAGAGCAGCCTATTATATCCCACATGACCCTATAAGATCAGTTATAGGAGAGAAAACAGAGACACAGAGAGGTGGAATAATTGCCCAAAGTCACACAGCTAAAGAGTGGAGTAGCCAAGATTCAAATCCAATTGTCTGTCTCTCTCTACTGAACCATGTAATCTCCCCTTTCTATGCCACAGCAGTGGGCCCAGGGGACCTTTTTCTGATAACTCAGCCCACTGAGGAGCTGGGATTTAGAGATGTGGCCTCAGGTATTGGCATTTGCCAGTTTTAAAACCATGGATGGGAAAGGCAATGCTTACCCCACAGGAGTGATTCTCTATAGAGAAAATTCTGGCACTGTGGTTTGGGGTGGGGTTTCTGGGAGCTTTGAGACTACTCCAGGAGGAAGGCACTTACCTAGTTCCACTGCTCAGGACAGGTCACCAGGTCCAGCAGCTCTGAGGTAGCTGTGAAGGGCCAGGTGTGTGGCCCCCGCCCCTCTGCCCGCCACCCCCACTCACGAGCATTAAGAGTTTCACCCGAACATCAAAATCCCCATCAGGCTGGATCTGAAGGGAAGGTGGCCTCCATGTCTGGCCTCCTACCACTCCTCCAGCTGGGAGAGGCAGGTGACCTCACAGATACCACAGGGTGAGGGCCCAGTTACCATGGGGACCCAGCTGCCTCAATACTTCCCTTTACCTGCCTCCCTCCCCCTTCACTGCACCAGAACTGGTGTATGGTCTTGCGGGGCCTGCCCACTTCCCGTTTGCAGACTGTCCCATCAACTCCATGAATTCCCAGCCTGCCCAGGAGCAGCACCAAGAAGACCTCAGGGCCTGCAGCAGGCGAGGGGAGCAGTCAGTGCGGACAGAAACGGGCTGCACCTCTCCACATTCTTCCAACTCCCCAACTATCCAAGGCCCAGGGATAGAAATCTTTACCCCAGGGCCACAGTTGACAATGTTTGGAGGCAGAGGGAAGCCTCTGTTGCCCAAAGCTGCAGGGCCCTACCTAAGCCCCCTCCCATTCATTCTTGCATTTTACTAAAGGATGGGCTCCCCGATGGCATGCAGTTTACAGATTACACAAGGCAAAATCCCAGGACACCTGTCAGTCTTTCCCGCCTCCCTTTGTCTAGTTTCATGGGGAAGTAGCTAGCAGGTCAGGGCACCTCAGGGCCCAGGAACTAAAACTTAGGTCAAATGTTATCTTTAACCTACCAGAGGTCAGGACCCTGTGGCCATTAGTCAAGTTCAGGCTTCTGTTGCCTCAGGGATTGCTGATTATGGGGAGGTGGGAAGGGGAAGGCTAAGTGTCTGAAGGAGAGAGAGAGATGATTTCTAGAGGTAGGGTTTATATCTTGTCAATCAAAGTCATAAGGACCCTCACCCTGGCAGGTTTGGCTCAGTGGTTAGAGCGTCGGCCCAGAGACCAAAGGATCACAGGTTCGATTCCTGGTCAAGGGCACGTACCTTGGTTGCAGGCGTGACCCTCGGCCCTGGTCAGGGCTTGGCTCATGCGGGAGGCAACCAATGGATGTGTCTCTCTCACATCAATGTTTCTCTCTCTTCCCCTTCTCCCTCCCTTCTACTCTCTCTGAAAATGAATGGAAAAAATCCTCAGATGAGGATTTTTTTAAAAATCAAAGTCAGGCCCTGCCGGGCGTGGCTCAGCAGTTGAGCGTCGACCTAGGATCCAGGCGATCGGGGTTCGATTCCCAGTCAGGGCACATGCCTGGGTTGTAGGCTTGGTCCCCAGTCGGGGGCCTGCAGGAGGCAACCGATCAATGACTCTCATCATTGATGTTTCTCTCTCTTTCTCCCTCTCCTTTCCTCTCTCTGAAATCAATAAAGATATATTTTAAAATTAAAAAAAAAAAAATCAAAGTCATAAGGACCTTCAGTTTTACTAGGAAGAGTACAGCAGGGAAGAGAAAATGTGAGTCAGAGTATCCTGGAGAGAGGCAGGTCCTGGGGGAAAGAGGGCAAATCTGCTGAGCCACAAAAGGACCACAAGAGTCACCAGGAGGCCACAAACTGCCTGGAGAGTGTTGGAGAAATTGCTGGCGCCATTAAGGTCAAAGCCTTAGAATTCTGGGAGAATCCAGAACCTTGATCAGATTTTCTCACATTGCTTTCCTGTCTGGGTCTCAGCAGGTAACCCCAGGGGGCTGCAGGGTGAGGCTCTTATGCCTTTTAGAAATTTTTCAAAGCACACGCTCTGGTGCACAGGCCACTGTAAGTGCAGGGCTCTGTGAAGACAGGGCCCCTCTGTACAGATTGGAAGGGTGGGTGCCACTCAGCCCTTGCACACAGTGATTTCAGTCCTCACTCACTCCCTTGGCCAGGCATCCTTGTACAGGGCACAACTTACCCAACCGTACATGGCAGCCTGCCATAATGAGTCCCTGGAGTGTCAGTGACAACCTTTGCCCAGGGCAGTCCTGTTCACCCACTGGTTTCCTCCCCTGGAGCAAGAGCTGGGGTCTGAAAGGTGGAGTGTTCAAAGTCCCTCCATCTGTCCTCTACCTTTGAACCCCCCTCTGCCCCTGTGTCTCCAACACTGTGGCACTGAGAAGTCATTAGGGCTTCAGAAAGGCCTCACTGAGCTAAGTTTTGAAGGATAGGTAGGAGTTTTCCAGAGAGGAGAGTGTGAAGGGTGGTCCAGGCAGAGGGAACAGCTTGATGTAAACAGTTCACTATTACTAGAGCATAAAGTGGGACGTTGGGAGGAGCTCAAAGTAGGTGGTAAGGTCAGCAAGGACCACATGGGTCATGGAATATTCTATTAAATGATAGGAGCCATTGAAGAGTTGAGGCAACCAAGCAACTGGAGATGGCCTTGGGCTTTAGAACAGTCCCTCTGGCTGCAGGAGGAGGCTAAACTAGGGGGCAGAAGGGGCGAGGGGATCAGATAGGACCCACAACGATAAACCCTCCAGGCATGAGATAGTGGGAGCCTGGACTGGACTGTGGCGCTGAAAATGGAGAGAAGAAGACAGATGCCAGAAATGTGTAGAAGGTGGAACTGACAAGGTCGGAAGCTGTCGAGAAGGGTGCAAGGTCCAAGATTGTATCCCACTTGCAAGCTAACCAGTCAGCCTGCCAGAGATTTTTTGGATGCTAGTAGAAGGCACAAGACTCCTGGGTCAGAGATAAAGGACAATTTATTACTCACAGCACTATCAGTAAACTAGAATATAAGTATTTTGCATTGATTCTTTGAGTCCCAAATCCCACAGGGTGACGTGAACAGAGCCAGTTGACACCTAAACGCCCTGTGGGTTTATTATGGAAGATAAACCTTGAGCTTAGGGAACCCAAGCCTTTTATAATAGTCAGAAAGCAAGCCTGCTTCGTGCTCCTGAGGGACACATTATCTTTCTCATGCTGGGCCATGCCTGTCTTTGTTCCAGAAGGAGACATTATATATTCCATGGCTGTTTGATACACAGACATCCTGGAAAAGATCATTCAGAACAAAGAGCAATCAATTCCTTTGCAGAAACACAAGAGACCTATGGAAAATGTGTCTCTCAACAGAGGACTGAGTAGGAAGACAGGTAAATCAAGGCAGGGCTCAGGAGCCCGCTCAGAAGGCTTAGGCGAAGGGTGGGTGGTAGTGCTGCCTACTGAGGTGGGGTGGGGAGTTCAAGTGAGTTTGGCGAAGAGTCTGAGAGATTGCTGGGAGTCAGATGGTGAGGGCTGAAGCTAAGTCTTGCAACTTGTTTCCCCTCCTCCCCTCTTTTTTTTTTTTTTAATATATGTTTATTGATTTCAGAGAGAGGAAAGGAGAAGGAGAGAGAGAGGGGGGGGGAGAGAGAGAGAGAGAAACATCAATGATGAGTCATTGATCGAGCCCACAGCCTGGGCATGTGCCCTGACCGGGAATCGAACCCTGATCACCTGGATCCTAGGTGGATGCTCAACCACCCCCAGCCGGGCTCCTCCCCTCTTTGGCTTGCTCCCCACCATCACCCAGCACCACCCAGAACTTGTCACTAAGGCTGAGTTGATGGTCCTCAACCTCATATTGACCAAACTTCCTGGACCATGTGGCCCAGGCAGGAGCTGGAGTTGAAGAGACCTCACCTTGCCCCACTGCC